CTAACTAGACAGACACTTTTGTGAGATCAGTTGTCTGAACCATAGAGGGTGGTATTTCTAATAGCAGAATGAAAGCCAAAGACCTGCTGGTTTAGAATAGAGACTTCTTCTTGGTCTTTAGAGGAAAAAGTCTGGACATGTTCAATTAACTGTGTTATTACTTTCATCCTATTAATTGCAGTTTTTTCTATATGTATCTTCTTTGAGATTAGCCAGGAAACAAGTTACTAGGGGTAAGAGCCTTTTCTCTAACACAGTACTTGCTTATACCACAGAATACATGAATCAGGTAGTAGTCTTTTAAAATGGAAGCAGATTTTACCACTGGTTTTGATGATGCATTCCTATCTTCTTTAGCAAAATGTGCGGTACTGGTTTTATTTTTATCTTAAACTGTGGCAGAGGTTTTGGAAATTCCAGGCATTCTATGAGAAGTGTATGCATGATAGAAATATCCCAACTAATGTCACACAGTAAATCCCCTATGTCTAATCAGCTGCAAACCTGAAAAAGGTAGGGAGCGCAATAGGAATTTAAAGATTGTCAGCAGCAGCATCATGTATCTTAGTACCTGTCGTATAAATACCCTTCTAAAGAAATTTCAGGCCCCAGGATAACTGCATAAAAAAGCTGTAGCTCATGATGTTAAATGCAGCAGCGGACAAGACTTGAGGATGATATATCTGTATATAGCTCTCTCTAGTAGCTGCTGAAGCAAATTACGTTAGTGATTTAGGCAGTATTAGAAAGTAAGGAAACACAGAATCAGAGAATAGTTTGGGTTGGAAGACATCTTTAAAGATCCCTTAGTCCAACTCCCCTGCAATGAGCAGGAACTGCTTCAACTAGATCAGTTTGCTCAGAGCTTCGTCCAGTCTGACTTTGAATGTTTCCAGGAATGGGGCATCCACAACCTCTCTGGGCAACTTGTGCCAGTGCTTCACCATTGTCATTGTAAAAAAAATCTTACATCTAATCTGAATCTACCCTTCTTTAGTTTTATACCATTGCTCCTTGTCCTTATTGCCACAGGCTCTGCTAAAAAGTCTCTCCCCATCTTTATTCTTATAGACTCCTTTCAGGTACTGGAAGGCTGCTCTAAGGTCTCCCTGGAGCCTTCCCTTCTCTCAGCCTTTCTTCATTGGAGAGGAGCTCCATCCATCCGGTCCTGCTCTGGGTGGGGTCTCACCAGGGGGGAGAGTAGAGGGGCAGAATCACCTCCCTCAAGCAGCACATTCTACTTTATGCTCAGATCAAGGCTTTGATAAACCATTTATGCAGGGGTTTGGGAATTAACTAATTCCTTGTTTTGTTTTGCTTGTGTCTGCAGCTTTTGCTTTCCCTATTAAACTGTCTTTATCTCAACCCTTGAGTTTTCCATCTTTTATCCTTCTGATTCTCTCCCTCATCCCACTGGTGGAGGAGTGGGCTGTGTGGTGCTTTGTTGCTGGCTGGGGTTAAACCACGACACCTGTTAATCTACTCACACCCATTTGCAGTTTCCTTATATGCCTTATATAAGATGAACTATTTGATTTGTTTGTGCATGATTCCAGTGCCTTGACTTGCAGGGATAAAAATCTGTTTTCACAAAGGTGGAATGCTTTTTACAGTTTTGTGAGCTGATCAGTCTTAGAACAACATTGAAGAAGTCTGTTAGTCATATACACATTGTCTTCTTAGAAAATACTTTATCTTTGTAATCCTCTCCATCGGTAAGGATTTATGTTTATAAAGTGGGAAAATAGTTACTGAAGGAAATCTAGTGTTTACAGTACTGATCTCTATTTTGATTTAAAAAAGACGATTCAAGTTCTCCATCCTGACTTATGTGCTGCCTTGAGAGTGAAGCAGGTTTATTTTTTTACTTTGCATGTGACAGGTCATTATAATTTGTCACTATGTGTACCAAACAATACATTTCAGTTTTGGTGTGTGGGAGTGTCTCAATTCTATCAAGCATGACCAAGACATGTAGGACATAAAATTCAAGTCTATGGTGGTATCTACAAATGTGAACGATCTGTGATGATTTAAAAGAAACAGAAAATAGACTCAATAAGAGCTGGATCTTGGTATGACTGAAGTGTTTGTGGTACCCAAGGAGAATGAAAGGGTGGCAGCCACTCCAGCACAGAGGGACTGTAATGGAGCAAGTGTCCTGCTGTGCTTACTACACATGTATCCTTAGTCGTAGATCAACTGTATTGATGTTTTTATTTCATTCTTTAACTTAGGAACCCAAGTGCTCTGTAGTATTTTTTATGCTTGAGATAAACCATAAGAATGTAGAGGATCATTAGTAAAATGTACCTTTGTAGTAAACTATGATTGTATTTCCCAGTTAAGTTTCGAGGAGAGGGGAAAAAAAAATCTAATACATTTTTCTAAAACATTGAAGAATTTTAAATTCATCTGTAGATTTCTCTTCTGATATCCTCTTTATTTTTAATATGATTATTCATTTATACATATAAAAAAGAAAGAGGCACTATTTTATTTGTGAAACAGTTTTCCTTCATTTTAAAATTGTCTACGTACCCCTCTACATTATACACCTATCGTAGAACATAGTTTTCTAGTCCAACTGATATTTTATCGTATCTTTTCCATATATATTTGAGCTGTGATCTGCAAGACTTCTGATTTGTGGAGGTGAAACCTTGCTTAGGGAGCTGTAGTTTTTAAGAAGCAAACCAAAATAGTTAAACGTAATAGTAAAAAAAAATTGTAACTTGAGTACAGTACTTTGTTTTGTTTTGTTTTTAAATAAAAACATGCATTGAGAATATTCTTGGCAATTTTACTTGTGAATATTAGATTTGTTTGCTGCTCTTTGGTCACAATAGCTCTGTTTTTAATAACAGGTAGATAAATACTTATCACTTTCAGATTAAGATAATGAGGAAATTAAATTTTCCTCTGTACACTTTGCTTCTATTTAAGGTAACTGCCTCCATAGCTTACATATATATTTATTTAATTTTTTTTAAGTTACCAATTTAATTTCAGTAGAGCACACAAATGAATTTGCTGATGGGAATCTGTGAGATGGGAAGAGCTGATACACCGCCTCCGGGACTGAAAGACCAAAAGCTCAGTAGGACTTCATTATTTCCCCAGCTTCAATGGACAGATACAATGACGAGCTAGGAAAGGGCCATAAGAATCTCAAACTTCTTCTCCACAAGTAAGCTGAGATCTCAAGCTCCTGGAAAGCAGGAGAAATCAGCTGGGGTTACAGCCCATCTGAGCCAAACATGAAGACCCTGATCACTGACCCAAGTCCCCCTTAGGGCAGCAGTGTCAGACTAAAGCATCTTGTTTTTTGCCTGGGAGGAGGCAGGAGCTGCTGCTCCTGTCTCAAGCACTTCCTACCAAAGCTGCTCTCATAGCCTTGGTGTGGTGGGCTTGAGACTGGGCTTCAGCACTTTGCATTTTGTGATATGACAAGTAAACCTCTTTTTTCCACTTCAACTGCAGTGCCACTGGAACCGTACCACAGGACTGGCCGCTCTATACTTTATACCCAGCACTTTTTCTTTTTTACAGCCATCTCTTCTAACCAAACTGCTAACACATTTGTGGTTATTTTGGGCTTAAATCTTTCTGACTTCAAGCCAATAGCTATTTTATTATTTAAATTTTACCTCATTGGACATCTGATTTGAAAAGTGAAGGAGGCTAATCCTGTACTGTCATGATTTAGGAGAGCAGGGAATCCACTGGGAGGTTATTTTTAAAGCAATGAGATTTGACAACCTTTCTGTTTACAGTCAGCAGATTAACATTTAGAAAATACACCTTTAAACCACTTGTTTGCACTTCCTTCATTATGAAATATTGGAAAATCCAAGTTGTTTTCTTCAGATTTGGGTTATTCCTTCTATACTCTGCCTTCACTTATGAGGATTGCTAGCATGTAGTTTTGAGAAAGAAATCTTCAGATCATATCCACTGTGTTGAGAGAAAAAAATTAATGAAGGTCAGGCCTATTGGCAATCTTCAACCATTTCAGTTAGGAAATGAACTAAGTTTTGCTGGTGATACTGATATTATTTCTCCTTGGCACAAAGATGTGTGTGGTACTTTATGCTTTATCACTTGTGATAATCTGCTCACTGTTTTGTCTTTTTTTTTCTAACATAATTAGCATTCCACTGCACAGAGAACACATTTTTCTTTATCTGTTTGCTCTTCCATGCTCTCAAGTTTGATGTCTCAAATGTATTCATTTATGAATAGAAACAATCAAATAAATAAAGGGCAACAACTTCTATCTGTTCAGTTCTGCCATGGCAGAAATGGGTTCAAAATTTATCTGAGAACTTATCTTTTTTACTGAGCTCCCGTAGCAAAGTAGAAAATGGCCTCATGTTCACCTTGTTTCAGAAAGTCATGCATACAGTTGGCAGCCAACTGTATTTCAGATTCCAAAATACAGATTGTTGCTTTTCATTTCTCTGGTAAAATGCAAAATGATATTACAGAACTCCTCAGTTCTTGAAATGGATGAACATTTCCCATAAAAATCTAGCAGCTCATTCTCAATTAATTGTAATAAATTAACCATGACAAAGCAATGGTAGTTCTCACGAAAATTTGATTTGGATCTGCTGAAAGCAGATGTGCGTTCCTTACTGCAGACCACCACAGTGACAGAAGCACGTGTTTCAGAAATCTATCAAGGTAGATACTTTATGTTACGGTTTTCAGACATTTGCAGCATGTCCCCAGAATATACTTCTCTTGTGCTGCTGCAACTGGTAGCAGCACCACAGCTGCCCACTCCTTCCTCATGTGGGCTCTCTCCCACTCCCCAGTCTTTCTCTCTAAACAAGAAAACAGTATCTAGATAGCAAACCCCACACTTGAAATAGCTTGCGTTTAGTTTGTGGAAACCCAGGTTTTTCATCCATTGGAGAGTGGAGACCAATGCAAACAATGCTTAATTATATACATATTTAGTACTAAAAACATTATTAAAAACTGTATTTTAGGACTTCACCCAAAAAGGACTCTGCGCTTGGTGCTGTGGACAGGAGAAGAGCAAGGAGGAATAGGTGCCAAACAATATTATCAGTTGCACAAGGTAAATTACGTCTTTTCGTCATTTTCTTGACAGCACTTTGCTCCCTAGTCTTGTGACTTGCATATTATTGTTGTCAAAATGTTCAGCTAATATCTAACCAAAACCAGTGATTCTGGTTCTGCCTGCAAGTATATTTTCTGGGCTTAATCATAAATGTAAACTTCATTTTACTTTTAACAGTAGGTGATGTGACCACACATATACGTGTTCTGCTTGACCTCAGATACTCTGTCACAAAACTGTTCTGGAACAGATATTTCATGATGATATCTGCCATAGCTTTCAAACATAGCTAACTCTCTGAGAACAAATGATGAATGGTCCACATATGTTTGCAATATAAATAAGTTTTGTTTGCCTTATATATTTCTGCTTCACTGCATTTTCCCATAACATTTTACAATGTAAAACATAAAATAATATAAAGAAAAATCTTTGCTATCTTATCTTAGTAGCGTGTAATCTGTAATACACTTCGCCAGTTGCTAGTTTTCTGGGATCTGGAACATCTTCAAAGGTTGATTTCTGATGATGCAAAGAACACACAAATTCTACGACTGTGATTATCAGAATAAAAATATTGTGTATTATCACATCTGTCTCTCCCGCCAACAACTGGTGTTTCAAAGTGCATCCTGGCATAAAGAGCAGTTGCCAAAACTGTTCTGGGGGTAAGTCTTTAGAGTATGTGGGTTTTTTTTTCTTTTTCCCAGAAAAATTAGGCTGTACCTGTATAACTAGTCTAAAGTAATCTTGCATTCTCTTCCCTAGTTTAGTATTATAACTCTCAGCAATGGTTAATACATCCAAGGCAGAGAGGAGATGAATGCAGATGTGTTTAGGAAGTTACCTTTTCTACAATAGCATGAAAGCAGACTTACAACAATTCCTAACAGTATATTTTTAATGCTAAGCAACCTATCAGAACAAATAAACAGAAATTTCATTTTGAATCAATTCATTGTGATGAACAAAATTAGATCAAATTGTATCTGCAGTAGAGTTGTCAGACAGCATTACAGAGATTACAGTTTTCTGGCTAATTGATGAAAAATCAATTATTTCCCACTTAGTATTTGAATATTACTAAGATGTGTATTTAACTACCCATGTATAATGTTGTTCCTCCTTATATCTCCAAATTATAGCGGTAGCTTAGCTCTGTCATTTATTTGGCAGCGGTACCAAAGAACTTGCTTTCTGAGCTTCAGGGACGTGACAGGTTGCAGTTTAGTATGTGTTAAGGACTCTGGATTTACCACTGGTGCTCTGATGTTCAGCAGGATTAAACTAAAATAGAATATTCTGGAATAGGTAGCACTTGAAAGAGATGCTTCTTATATACAGAACTGCATTTTGGAGGAGCTGGAAGGATGTGCTGTGCCTAGTGCACACCACTCATCAGAAATATATTTGATGATTTACCTCTGTAGATTTCTGTGTTAGACAATAAGATCCACCCTATGGTGGTGCTGTCAGCAACATGTGAAATTGTCTCGTACATGTCTCATCTTTGCCAAAATGGTTGCGTTTTGCTGTCGTCTCAAAGATTTATATTCAGAAATAATACCATAAAGTAGGCCTAAAGATCAAATAGGGAAATATAAAGCAGACTGAGTGTTGTTTGAAAGATACTTTGTTACTTTGCTTTTAAAAAGTTTGAGACAAAGATGCATCTTAGTTCTTACTCTGCTGATGAGATTCTTTCTGAATGTTGTGCTCTGCAGAGAAAGCCCCGTCTAACTTAAGAGTTTGTTATTTACAATGGAGGATTTAAGCAGAAATGACATCTGTCTGTTGTTTGTTGTTCTTGTTTTCCCTGTGCCATATGATCTGGTGTAATTATAAACTGATACTACTGTAGGACATTACATTACTCATAATAACAAAATAAAGCAGATTAATATTGTACATTATGTTTAGCATGAAAAATAACTTAACCTTTTAATGATTTACTTGCTCAAATTTCTGGCAATTAGAATAGTATGGCACACACGGTGCTTGCTGATGGTAATGAGTACAAGTTAAATAAGAGTGGTATTTAAAGATTTCTTGTTAAATGAAAGACAGCCTGTATGACTCATCTACATAGCTGGATTTATTATGACTTTAGTTCGCTACAAACAAGTAGAAATATGAATGCAGTAATTCAGCAGAGGCAGACATGGATTTCCTTGAGATTGTAAATTACCTCCTCACATCAGTGGAAATGTGGCAAGGGAGAAGAAATGAAGACAATATAGTACTGGACAAGTACAGATAATCCTGCTTTTGTAGCTTATTTATTATTTCTTTCAGTTTAATTCAGGTCTTTCTTCCTCATCTGTTATTGTAGGTTGCCACTTCTGGAAAGTGGATAAGTTACTGCAGAAGTAACTGAGATAGTAGTAGCAGCATAGTAGTTTTAGGATGGTGCCAATAATTAGCTCACATCCCTGCATAATAGCAGCATTTATATCACTCAAGTATTTCTGTAGATCCCAGTATTATCATTTCTGATTATTAAAGCTAGTGATAGGGTATAGTGGCTATTCAGAGCTTTGTGTGAATATAAGAGCTGCCATATTGGATTGATCAAAAGCTCTAGTGCTCTAGGCAGTCTAGTGCTGTCTCTTGTTTCTGATAGCATCCAGTGAATGTATGCTTAGGAAAAGCATATTTGCCCAACTGCAGTCAGATTAACCTCAGACACATACATTACTCATGCAACCATGCTTTCATTTTATCAAATATTTTTCTGGAGAGCATCTCATGGTCCTCATCCATTGTTTCGTTTGTATGATTTTTCTAAGCCATTTCCAAGAGTTGAAAACTGTGTATCTTCTGGCAGTTTCGGTGCCTCCGTTAGTGTAAGGGTACCTGCCACCCACTAGTACATCACAGAGCACCTGTTCAGTTTTGACCATGGGGCAGAAACCCCGCAGGGGAGTTACCAACCCGTTTGCTCACGAAGGAGATACCTGCTGAAGTGCTCACTGCTTTTAGCTGTTAGCAAATAATTAGATTTGATCCCAGACTAGAAAAAGGGTTGCTTTTCCTTAACATTAAAGCTCCTTATCTTGATGCAGGGTAATGAAATTAAAGGATCTAAGTGCAAATCAGGCTCCAGATCTTGGAGTTCGACGCTGTATTTGTAGTCTTTTTCCAATGCTTAGTGTTGTGTGACCCAGTTGCTAAGTAGGGCTCTTACAATACAGTAAATATAGTAAATAACTTCAGAAATGTGAAACATTGCAACGCTACTTTCTTATACAAGTTGAATGGAAGAACTGGAGGAACGTAGTTTTAAATGGCTTCGTGTTGCAGCTCTTCAGTACAGATTCTCCTGCAACATTTAACAACAAAATGTGAGTGCCTTCCACTAGGGCTTTTTAAGTTGTTTGTATGTTTACTCTTTTGCTGCCTTCATGAAGGGAGAAAGAAGTATATGTAATGGAGTATCTGTCCCCCTTTTCATTGCTTTGGAGTAGTTTCAGTGAAAGGTCTGTGTACCATGAAACAAGGTTACAGTTATTTACTCAGCTGAATTAAGGGACTATGAGTGGCTGAAAATATTTATTTTGGAATAGCAATCTTCTCAGAAAGCAAATACATTTTGTAGTTAAAAGACTAAGAGATCCTAGGTCACATTCAAATTTACTTTAGTAACTCTGTTGTGATCGTTGGAGACATTAATGTGTTACGAATTTAATTCAAACGGTATTACAGAAGGCATTCTTAAAATATTTCTGTGTGCTTTTATTCCTATCTGAATGATTTTTACGAGACTTGCCTAAACTTCTGGTGCAAATGCCATACATTGTTTTAACTTTTTAGTAAAAGTCAAACTTAATGAAAAATATCAATCACCAGCATTTACTATGGTTTGGTTTTTGTGTGTTTATTACCAAGAAGATTTTATATTTTGCTCAAACTGCATCTGCATGAAAACAGAACTCTCTGAAATGTTGGTATTTCTTTGTTAATAGTTTAAGTACTCTTTGTTGATGGTCACATCAGGTTCTGTACTATGATTTGCTCATGAGTTGCTTTCTCTAAGAAGCAAATATCCTAAAACTATCTTGTCACTTTCAGGTGAAATGATTCTTCCCCAGAAAATACTGGCTGCTCAAAAACCAGAGTTTTCAGAAAACTCTGGTTGTTTCCTGATGTACCAAGTACTCTAGTGAAACGTGAGACAGGAATTTTTTTTCTGATTTGAACCAAACACATAGAGGATTTTAATGAGTATTCTTTTATCCCAGCAAAATATGTTGACTGTTTGCCTATTGACTGTCCTCAGGCAGTATTTTCTGTAATCAAAAATGATGTAAAATTACTGCTGGTTTTTTAGACCACTGTTGATCCCTTTCATTGCGAAGTGAAAGAAATGCATAAAGAGTGAAATGTTCCATTGCAAAACTGCAATAAGAAAATAATTACACTGTATTCTGCAGAATCCAAATTAACAGCCAGTAGCACCACAGTAAAGGCGGCATGATTATAGAATTATATTTTATACCAGTTTTAAGTCAGAAGGAATTCATAATTCTTACTAATTAGGAATCAGCTACCTAGTGAAAGTTGCAGAGAAAGCCAGATTTTGCTAAAACACAAAACCAGGTTCATTCTTTACACTACCCGAAGCACGGAAGACCCCAAATCAGTCATGACAGTGTGTCTCCTGGATGCTTAGTCTTCATTCCAAATTTCATACATATCTAGTGTGAGAAGAACTTTTGTCTCTGCATCTTTCCTCTCTTTCCCTCCAGTGAATAGCAGGGCTGCCATATGAAACTGGTGGAGACGTGTTCTGAGGATAGCTGCTTCAAGTGCATACTCCAGGCAGATTGACCCAAACATGGGTCCTTGGTCCACTGAGATGTTCTATTGTAAGAAAGTTGATCTCCTTCAATCCAAACTCCCTGCAGCTGTACAAGACAGAAAATTACTGCTTCTTGTTGACTCGCCATGGTGAACTGTCCTCATTGGCTTATTTTCATTTCAACATTTCACCTCTT